AGGAAGCTGAAAACTTTAAAAAGTTAAATCTTATTAGTAAAGAAGAGTTTGACAATCTTACCCCTGAATATATAATTGATCCAAATCAAGAAGTCCCCCCAGGTCCTCCAAGATCTCAACAAGGTATATGTCCAGAGTTAAGTCGTTCATGAGCAAAATAAAGTATTCAAAATAGTAAAAAAATGCAAAACTATGGTATATTTAAAGCAATAAAGAATTTGCTTAATTTACATAACGTATAAATGTTTCAGAATTGAGCTTTTTTTGTCAGTGGGTAGATGTGAATCAGTGATTGAATCATTGGATTAAATTATGCTTTAAATCACTAATATGAATTTAAATAAAATTTCAATAAAATTTCCTACCTTGAAATTCATATTTACGAACAAGCATGCATACTTCATTGATTGCAGTCAGAGCCTTTATAAACAACAACAAACCTTTATTGGCATTACACATTAAGGAGAATACAAGACATAAGAAGTACTCAATACAGTTAACACAGATCTCACTTTTTGGAGGCCAGATACAAAAAAGTTGCCACTGTTTCAACAGTGACAGCATTTTTTGAGGAAAGATGAAAAAAAGACTTATAATTTTCATATTGGCCTGTTAAATTCTTAGCACGAATGTCAGCATAATAATCACAGTACAGAAGGACATGCTCAATACTTTCTACTTCCTTTCTTCCACAATCACATAGCCTCTGTGCGTAAGGAGTCTTGGAAAATCTCCCTTTGAGTACTGCAGAGGGCAACACATTAAAACGTGCTAACTTATAAGCTCTGCGAGTACATGGATCATTGAGGGAGAAAAAATATGATTATATCGTCCCCACGGGAGGAATCCCTAATCTCAGGGGAGAACATCTACCAGAGGCACGGCTACATAGTTCTTGCAACTCAATATCCAAGTGTCTTTGTTTAAGTAAGACAAAAGCATCTTTTTCGGACAGGGAAAGCAGTTCATCAAAGCTTATCCCTATGACAGCAATCTTCTTCTCTATAAATGTCAACCAAGAGGACTGATGAAACTCTGTTAAAACTAAAGAAGCAAGACAGTTGGAATGAGAAGTGGTTTTAAAGTGTAATTTTAGCCAGAATTTAAATGTTATTAACTACGCTCTAGTCTCTAGCAACCTTTGATTAGTTTCAAGACACATTGCAGCATAAGAAACACACATAGGAAAGCCTAGAATTTTCCAAAGGAAGCTAGACTGAATTTTTTCTATCTCCTTATTAATAGCACCAATCCAAATTGGAATTCCGTAGAGCAATTTAGCACATCGTTTATGATTAAAAACTCGTAGGGCCGCTGGGACATACTGGTTGCCCTTAGAATAGTAAAAACGGGTAATCGCTAGCATGTCATTATTATTATTTTTTTAAAACCCCAAGAGGGTAATTTTATTGGTTTTTCAAGTAGACTACATAACTACAACAGAAAATATAGCAAGGGGGACTACAACTAGGGAAAAAGAAAACATACCCACACTAACTAAAAACCCAAGAGTAGGATATCATTTCCGTGTTAAACTACATGTTAGTAAATACGTGTTAATATAACAATATACTTGTGAGTTATTTTTAACTACTGCTTCAATATTAATAATTTTAATATTTTGAAAACACTTCTTGAGCATCTTCTTATTTTCATAGGGCTATTTTCAGAGTCCTTCTGCCCTTACTTCTGTCTTCTTTCTCTGAAATCATACACCGTTTTGCTTGTTCTCGCACCCGCTTCCTCCCCAGAGTCCTCCCTTGTTCCAGAGGTAGCAGAGTCACTCGATTTTGTTTCTTCATCTTTGAGTTCTCCTTCTGGCCCCAGCTGTCGTCTCAAAAATTCCTTTGCTTTAAAGATGGAGTCAGTCTTCTCTCTTTTATCATTAACTTTAAAGATGACACCTTCAGGGATCACCCA